AGAGAGAGAGAGAGAGAGAGAGAGAGAGAGAGAGAGTTATTTTGTGAACAGTAGAAGAAAATAGTTTTCAGATTCCAAGTCCACTTCTTTTGTTCCTTTATATGATTTTAGAATTAGTTCTTCAGGAAAGAAAATAGCATTCGTTGTGTACAAATTCCTACTTTCCTCACAAAAGGAGAGTACTGTAGAACCACTTGTTGAAAAATAATGAGAGAAATTAACCAACAGGATGAAGCATTTCCTCTGTTCATCTTTCATCTCCTTTATAGCAGAATCAATTCTTGCAAATAATGATTACAGAATATTATTTGCAGTAACATTTACTAAGTTGGGTATCGTGAGTATTTAATACCATTTATATTAAGGGATCAAACATAAATTTAGAGACCCAGTTCTCCATTCTTCAAATTCGGTACCGTTACCCAATGGGAGCCGGGCCAGGAAACATGCTAATGCTCATTCCCACTTCCTTTTTTCTGTCATTTTCTTTTTGGAGGAGCTTTGGCTAAAGATACTATGAAGTTACATAAGAAAAATTACTAAAAATTGGTTTAAAAAAAATAAAATTATTAACCCAAATGAGTTAATGTATTTCAGTTAAAACACCAAACCATTTTTCCACCATAATTGTTCCTTTGGCCCTTTTATTGGAGATAATAATCACAGAAGGTAAAATTCAATTATCATTTCCCCTTAGCATTTATTTATAGTTTTAAATTTAAATTTGAGTTTCTTATAACAATCCGAAATTTAAAGATAAAGAATACCTGAACAGAGACACCTGGGCCAGGTTTGAAGGCCACCACATGTTAGCGGGCTCAACTAAATACCTCCTCATCATGCCAGCCCATCCATAACCCAATACCTGGAGAGAGAGTAAATAACTTGAAAATGACCAGAAAGGTATTAAAATGAGGAGAACCCACCATTCAAAAAAAATAATGGGGAAAAGATCTCCCAAATTCTTAAAACAAAAAACTTTCTAAGCTAAATCTGGAAAAATCCACAAAAAAAACCCATAGCCCCAAAATAACGGGAAAATAAGAGAAAAGAAAGACCAAATGATTGGAAACACACTTGGTTTTAATTTAATTAAACATGAATATAGATAAAATATCCCCACAATAAAGAAGCCAAAATAACAGTAAAATAAGAAAAATGAAAGACCTTATGAATGCAAACATACTGAGTTTTATATCTAATTATCTAACTAAACATAACAGTGGAGGAAAATTCCCCACAAAAAGGAACCGAAATAAAATTTAAAGCACATTATCCAAACATAAGCAAAAAAAAAAAACCAAAATAATTTGGAAATACACTGTGTTTCAATAAAATTACAATGAAATAAACAAAAAAAAAAAACCAATTCATAAAACCCCATTTACCTGAGTAGTCAAGACTATAAAAAGGCCACACAAGAAGCTCAAACTCTGCTTATAATAAACCTTCATAACAGTAATGGCACCAATGGAGTAAGCATCTCCACCACCATATGCAACCCCGCAATTCGCGAAGATGGTTATGATGACGTGCTCCTTAATGTTAAAAGGACCTGGATTGAGAGAGAAACTATAACCCAAAACCCTCATTTCCTTTTTAGGAAGAGTGGCGGCCATGAATCTACCCATTGGGAGCGCTGCAATTTGAGCCAGAATTGCTGAGATAGTGAGAGGTTGGGTTCTATAGGTGAAGAAAGTGTTCACAAACATGAGGAAAACACAGAAAGTTATGCCCAAAAACCAGGCCCTAAATGTCATTACAGGGAGGTTTGGGTCATCAGTGACTGGAACTACAAGAGCAACCTCCTCAATGGGGGATTGCTCTTCAGGTGAGAGATCTGGGTGCTTCTGAGCTTCTGGGGTAGGCTCTTTCGCCGCCATTGTTGTGGGTTTTCAAGCTTTGCTTCTCTCTGTATCTCTCTGGTTTTGAAGCTTTACTTCTCTCCCCGGTTTCGAAACTCTCCCTCTCAGTGTGGGTTATTTGGTTTCTCTCTCTCTCTCTCTCTATACCTGTGTGTTTCTCTTACTGAGGAATGGAGAACTCTCTCCTCTTTCTATTGACTTTTGTCGCTGGTCTTTCCCATTTCTCTCTATCTCTATATCAGTTTCACTCTCTCAATTCAAATTTTTTCTACTTCTCTCTCTAACCCCATCTCTCTCAATTGCTTTCTCAAGCCTATTCAGTCTCTCTCTCTCTCTCCACGAACGCGTGACTCTCCCTCGTCCTCTCTGTAATTCTCTCTTCCCCTCTTTCTCTCTCTTCTGGTTCTGACAAAATGATCACGCCATTTTCTCCAACGTCCCTCCTCTTATCTACTCTCTCTCCTCACTTTCTCTATCCTTTCTCTCTCTAAAAGCCCTCTCCTCTCTGTCTATCCTGTTTCTCTCTCTAAAATGTCTCTTTTGATTGAGAAACAAATCTCCCTCTATAAGCTCTCTCCTCACTTTCTGTCTTTCTCTCTCTCTAAAAGCTCCCTCCTCACATTCTCTATCCTGTTTCACTCTCTAAAAGCCCTCTCACAATCTCTATCCTGTTTCTCTCTCTAAAAGCACTCTCCTCACTTTCTCTCTCTAAAAGCGTTTGTCCTGATGACGGCTAGAACGCGGTCTTTATAGTGTGACAGGGTGGTGGGGTTAGAGAGAGAAAGAAAGGAGGCCATTGATAGTGGGGTGTGGGTACGGCACATGTGATGCATGGGAAACACACGAACCACTTGCCCTCGCTTGACGTGGGCTCCACTCTACACGTGCCATTTGCCAAGACAGAAGTCTGACGTGGACGCCTCCCCCTCGATAGGGGTGAATGTTTTCAGATGACAAAAATGCCCCTGGATATCTCTCTCAGTTCACGAGACTGCCCTTACGACCTTTTGGGGACGTCGTTTTACGTCTTTCCTTCATTCATTCATGGGCAAGAAACGTCAGTCTTCGGCCACCCACCCTTTATATCTTCAGCAAATGATTCTCGTCATCTTGAACAAATGATTTACTCATTCTCCTCTTCTACTTCTACTCCTCCATCTATTTTCATTTCTTTTTTTTTTTTTTTTTTTTTAAATTGTACCAAATTTTTTAAATTGCCGATAATTTGAGTTGAACGAAATTCAAACTCCTGCTTCTCTATAAGTTTTGCCAAAGAATGCTGAACAGATGGCTATTTCCCAATGGGGAAAAGATTTTTTAGTAGGGAAATATCACAGGCAAGTATGGAGACTAAACCTGAGCATGTGGTACAATCCTCTCCATTGTAGGATACCCCAATGCCCCCGAGCATGTGCTAGAATCCTCACCGTTGTAGGATTCCTCAATGCCCCCACCCTCATCTTAGTCACTGAATCCTTGGAGTCATCGTCTGAGGAATTATCGCCTCGGTGAAAAATTGAAAGTTGGATAATACAGTGAAGAGAAAACTGGTTGGGGAAAAGGCTAAGAAGATGATCAAGGCTATGGATGTCAAGTTTGAGTCTTATACCGAAGTTGTGGAGGAGACTATTGCTTTCATGAGATAGATTGGCAGCAGGCGCCCATTTTCTTCCTTATGAAGATGGTGGCTTCGAGAGACCCGGTGAACCTTCATCACGCCCATGAAGATTATCAGTTGGAACGTACGTTGTCTCTGTACTGATCGACGCAAGAAAGAAATCAATTTCTTGATTTCTAAATTTAAATATTTTGCTTTTATTATACAAGAAACTAAGCGTGCTTTGCCCTCTTTTTTGGATGTCAAGACTCTGTGGGGTAATGGTCTGTGTACTTTGAGGGTGTGGATGCCATTAGATTTTTTGAGGGTCTGTGGGTTTTTTGGGACCCAGCAGCTTTGTTCTGCTTTGATGTTTTTAAATCTGATAGGTTCGTGCCAATTACTTTTGAAGGTCCTGTCAGGGCTTTCCGTTGGGTACTTATTAATGTGTACGGGCCTAATGTTGCTACCCTTAAAGGTGTCGTTTTGGATGATTTGAAATCTTTTACTTCCTCTTCGGAACTTCCTGTTTACATTGGAGGGGATTTTAACCTTATTCGCCACCCAGATGAAATTTTTATGTTTTCCCAGTTTAATTCTCAACTGTTTATTCGCCGGGACTTCCAAATTTCTACTTTTTCCCAAGACTTTCTTATTTATTTGATCTTCCTACTACTGGAGCTCACTTTACTTGGTCTAATAATTGTTCATCCAATCTGATTATGTCCAAGATTGGTATCTTTCTTGTCTCAGAGGCTTGGGAATGAGTATTCTCTTTGGTCAAGGTTAATGCTCTTATCAAACTTACTCTTGATCACCTCCCCATCTGTCTTCATACTGAGGAGGTCTTATCTGGGCCTATACCTTTTCATTTTGATATTCACTTGCTGGAGGAGCTTGAAGCTGTAGATATCATCAATCATACTTGGGGTAGTTGTTATGTTTTGGGTAGTTTTGATTTCTGTCTTCATAATAAGCTAATCAGCCTGAAGCACAAACTCATCTTTTGGAAAAAAAGCAAATCAATATCAACTTAAAGACAAAATTGATACTACTTTGATGGACTTAGAGATTATTGAAAATTCTATAAGGAAAACCAAGTTTTATCTGATAAGATGATTGTTAATAAAAATTATCTGTTTAATAAGCTACATGATCTCCTTAGGATGGAGGAGATTTAACAGAAACAAAGACCAATAGTTAAATGGATTAAGGAGGGTGATAGAAATACTAAAATTTTTCATGCTATCGTGAATGCGCATAGAAGGCAAAATGATATTTCTATTATTTCTCTACCGGGTATATCGGAAGGCGACATTTCAGCTCGTGATGAGGCCATTGTTCAACGTTTTTTGTCTACTTTTCCTAGTGATTTTAACCTTGGGGTTATCTATCTTAGATGGTGTTCCTATTAAATCTTTACCACATTTTTTGGTTTCTGATATGGAAAGGGATGTTACTATGGAAGAAATTAGATTGGCAGTTTTTGCTCTTCTTAAGGATAAAGCCCCTGGCCCTGATGTTTTTCCTCTTATCTTCTTTCAACGTTTTTGGGATCTATTATACGGTGATGTCTATTTAATGGTTAAGGAATTTATATCCACTAGGAGTGTTCTCAAGGGCATTAATTCTACTTATATTTTTTTAATTCTAAAAAAAGATATCATTATTGATATTGGAGATATTAAGTCGGATAGTCTCTTGTCTAGTCTTTATATAATTCTTGCAAAAGTTTTAGCAGGGAGACTTAAGTTGGTTCTCCCTTTTGTGATCTTTGATGAACAATCAGCCTTCATTAGAGACCACATGATCACGGATTGTATTCTTATTGCCTAGGAATGCATTCACTCTAGAATTCTTTCTGAGCAGCTGGGAGTGGTTATTTAATTGGATATGGAGAAGGTCATTGACAGAGTTGAATGGCAAGTGCTCAATGAGATTATGAGAAGAATGAGTTTCGGTGTCAAATGGATTTCTTGGATTATGCGGTGCATTTCACCAGCCCATTTCTTGCTTCTTATTAACAAATCTCCTAAAGGGTTCTTTCATACTTCTAGGGGTATTAGACAATGAGACCATCTATCTCATTTTCTCTTTACCTTAGTAGCAGAAGGTTTTAGCATAATATTTAAGAATGTTGTAAATGCAGGACTTCTTACAGGTTTTCAAGTTTCCTCACTGGGGCCTACTATTTCACAGTTGTAATATGCACATGACACCTTGATTTTTTATGATGCTAGTGAAGAGAAAATGTAGAATCTCAACACATTTTTCCTATGTTACCAGCTAGCTTTGGGCCTTAAAGTAAATTTCCATAAGACTTCAATTGTGGCCATCTCTTGCTTTAACAGCCTTTTGGATTCTCTTGCTTCACTTTTGGGTTGCAGAGTTGAGAAGTTTCCCCTTAAATATTTAGGGGTTTCTATCTCTGATAGTAAGCTCACTTGTGCAGCCTGAGACTCTCTTGTTCACAAGTATCAAATTAAATTATACTTATGGAAGACCAAGACTTTATCTTTTGGTGGGCGTATCACTATGGTTAAATCAATATATGCACATCTTCCTATTTTTTTTGATGTCAATCCTACAAATACCTAGTGAAGTTATCAAGCTTATTGAAAAATATATACGAAACTTCATTTAGGGTAATATAGAGGATAACCACATAAAGTTTCATTCGGTGAACTGGGACCAGGTTTGTATGTCATCAAAACTAGGGGATTTGAGTGTCAGAAAGCTTAAACTTGTAAATTGGGAGCTTCTATCTATCCAAATGGTGGTGGGGAATCTTTCAAGACTCTTCTCATCTTTGGAAGGATGTGCTAATTGCTTAATATAGTTTCGATCATCTCACCCACTCGTTTACAAAAGTAGAGGAGGCAAATTCACCTCACATATTTATAAGGATATTTATAGCTGCAGAAATATTGTTTTGAGCAACATAGACAATGGAGATAACATTCTCTTTTGGTTCAACAAATGACTTGATGATGCACCTCTCTCTTCTACTTATTCTGACCTCTTTGCCAGAGTTGCTCAACCTTATGCAAAACTTTCAGAGTTGTTTTCTATCTCCCCCTCTAATTGTATGGTCTGGAACATCGGATGCTGCTACAATAGGCTACCAGACATGGTTATTTCGTATCTTCATAATCTCCTCTAACATGAACAAGTTTACATATCTTCTAATACCGAAGACTTGGTCATATAGGAATCAGAAACTGACGAACTTGTTTTTGTCAAATTAGTATATAGGCTCCTTTTTATGGATCAGGTCAGTATTGTTGATACCTCTTTGGGTTCTATTTGGAAATGGACAGTTCCAGTTAAAATCCAAGCCTTCTTTTGGATCGCATGTCAAAGGAAATGTTTAACAGTAGACAATCTGCAAAAGAGGGGTAAAATTCTTCTAAACATTTGCTTGATGTACAAAAATGATGAAAAATCATACTCTCATCTTTTATTTCACTGTCATTTTGCCTCTAGCTTATGACTCTAGGCCTTCTCTTTATTGAGTTTTTTTTCCTCATGAGACCTTTGAATCTCATCAACATTGTTAACCATCTTTCTACCATTGGATTACCTAAAAAAGGAGTTGTGATTTGGAAAACTTTCAGAAGTATAATCTTATGGCGGATTTGGTTAGAACGTAATAGGAGAACCTTTGATGGGGTATCTCAGAGTATTGAAAAGGTAAGAGATCTCATTTTACAATCTCTTTGGAATTGGTTTTCCTCCACGCCTGAATGACGGGGTACTCTTCGAACTAATATTTATATCAATCTGAAATTTTTGGCTCATTCCTCTTCTCACTCTAGCCGTCCGCTTAGAAGTTGGATTGCACATCTAGAAGCTTGCCACGAACTTATTTTTGATGGCAGCGCATTTGGAAATCTAGGGCCTAGTGTTGGTGGGCTTCTTCGTTACAATTTTGGATCGGTTTTTTTTTCTTATTCGGGTCCTTGTGGGTCTACAATAGCTAATCATGCTGAATTGGCTGCTCTCCTTCACGGCCTTTATATTATCATTGACAGGGGTTTCATTGGTGACATTATAATTGAAGGGGACTCCCTAAATGTTATCAAGTGGTCTAGAAAAGAGCAAAAGATCCCCTAGTTCCTATTTACTCTTT